CTTGTAAGAAAATTACAAATAGGTCCAAAGTAGCCTGTAACTTGCAATTCACAAGTTTGCCCTTTATAACTTACAATCATAACCAAGTTTGGTTTACACATAACATGAACCTAATGTGAATGCTCTACGTACGGTAATTACACAATGGTGGAACTAAAAACTTGATCCAAGGATGTTACAGGATAAGATAAAATGTAAAATATGACCATTTTCTTACAGTGAAACTATTTGTATTTCATATTCTAAGTTTGAGAACGAAAATAATTAATGAATTAAGAAAGAAAGAATATATTGACTCGTTTCTCAACACACATTGAAACCCCGTCGACCTGCCCTTCCAAGAATATATGAACAAATGGAGTACAAGTAACTCCATGAGAGTTGACTTAGAAAGTAGTGTGAAAATGCTAACGTTATGCATACACCACCGTGGACTTGACTTCCATAATTCCTAGCTAGAGCCAGCTGCAGCAAGCACTAATTCTCCTGTTAACGTCTTCATATAGGTTGGATTTGGACAAAGAGGTTGACGATAACACACACACACTAGATGTACATATATTCCTCTTTACAAAAGCTTGGTGAGTATATTGCCACGAAAAGATTAAACCACGAAAGGAAACTCTCATGTGTTGCTTTCAGTGCGTACAGAAAACTTTGTGCACATATTATAAAGTGGAAAGAAAAGAGATGGAAAGAAAAAGAGCATATTTTTGCTAGGTAGATAGATCGAAAGATAGGCTTCTCTTGCCTTGGTAGACATGTTTATTTATGCTTGAGCCTAGGTCACTTCAGGGTGAAACTTTCTCTGTTCCCTCGTCGACTCCTCAGCCATTACAAAAAGTTTTTTTTTAAGGGCCATTACAAAAGATAGATTTGCAATTTTGCTTTTCCCTTACATTATTGTACGATTTTTTTTTGAGTGACAATGCCAATTAAGACGCCCACACACCTACCGATTTGCTTATACATTATCGTGGGAGTAAAGGCGACCAACATACATGTTATATCAATTCAGGTGGCACGAGCATAATTTGTCATTATTTTGTTTATGGGTATTTGGGAGAAGAAGATGTTGATCTTGAAATTTGGAATTGGGATCGTCAAATTGAAAATTAATAGTAAAAAGGTTAGATGATTTCTTCTTTTACGTTAATCTCATCATTAAGAGATGACTTTTGATCAAGAACCAACCTAAAATAAGGGGAGCAGATCGGCGAGGAGCCAGCACCTTTGATAAGAGACGATGTGAGGTGAGTTTTTGAAGTGCCTAGTTGGCCCCCGACGACTACCTTGATATGGCGTCCGAATTTTAGAGTTTTCTAGGAACATAGTGGGTCGGGTCAATCCACTTGGCATAGCGAGTGGGGCGAACATTTTGAGTTTGACTGATAATTTTGGACGATCGTTTGACCAATTAAGTTTATCAAATTAGATGCAATATTTGGTGATCTCTGTATGATTCATAATGATAAGCCTCATCGCTGTACAAGTCAATTAAATACGCATATATGAACAAAAGTTGTAGGTTTGATTTTATACAACAATAAAATGGGCTTGATCACCAAAAGATCGAGATTACGATTGTGAAGGGTCAATCATATTGACCCTGTCCATATCTTATGAACGGAAATTGACCAACGATTCCCATTTATTCTAATAACTCAAAGTAGGAAGATACTCAAAGTTAACCCCGCAAAGCCTAACTTTTAGATGTGTATTAATATGATAATTTACCTATATTCTCCAGTGTCACAGAGGAAGAAAGAAATGAAATGGAACAAACATACGGTTGCTTTATGTAAAGAGGGAGGGAGGGAGGGGGATTCCAAATTAGGAGAGATCTGGGCGCAATGATTCTTCTTTGCTTTCATTTTCTTGTCCCATCTCCATCACAAAGTTTACCTTTCCGCAACTTTTTTTCGGGCCACCAAATTTTGTGCGTAGATTTACTCTTAATTGAATCCTATCGTTGAAATATGGTGTTTTGGGAATATGTAGTGCTGTAGTAGGATGATAATTACACGATATGGATGATTGTGAGTGGTGGTGTGGGGGCACGAATGTGTGTGCCTGCCCCCTTTTGGGGCCTCTGAGAGGGCACCATAATAACATGGTATTGCACTCTGAAAATGACCTTCTCTCACAAGTAGAGGTGGAGACGGTCGGTTCGGTTATAACCGAAAATCGAATGGTCGGTTATCAGTTAAACCGAACCACCTCCCACACCTACCGATCATCGAGCGAAAGAGGTATTAAGACTTTGGTTATTTCGGTTTTCGGTTAAACGAGCTTCCCCCAAGACCAAAATCATCTCGGCCGTCCCTTTTAATACCGATCGGTTTTCGGTTAGCGGATAACCGGCTGATTTCGGTTGTAACTGGTCGGTTAATCGCTAACTGGTAACCAATTGTCCAGCCCTACTCACAAGAGCTCTCTATTTTGTTTTTTGGAGCATCCATCCAATTTCTCCACTCTTCAATCTTCGCACCAATCTATCTATCGCCGTGGTTAATATTTCCCACATAAATGTTTATGACTTTATGTGGCCGTGGCCGCGGCCGCTATCAAAACTCGCAGAACTAGATTTGGGAGATGCTATGGTCTTTGATGGTGGATGCAAAAATATGAATGAGTGGGTTGATTTACATTTTGATGATATAAAAGAGATTAAAACTTTACGCACAACTTTATATTCCGAAGTTGAGAGAGTGCTATTTAGGTTTGTCACTATTCTTTACCTTTGTTTTTCAGAATGTCATGAATGTCAACTCAAAGGAAGGCATACAATTAATCTCATGTTGGACACTTAACGTGGACACTAATAACACCTATAAAAAAACTTTGATTGGATTGGAAGGAGTCAAGCTTGTAGACTATGTGGTCTTGGTTTGATAGCAAACATTTTGGGGCTCCCCCCTCGATCCAATCCGAACTGGAATTACGTGGAGAAGTGTTTGAAAATTATGTAATTTGTGATAGTTTTTTCTTGACTTGTTTAGGGGAACCCTTGATTAGATGGTAAATTCAATCTTGAAGCCTTCTTCAAGAGAGTGCAACAATATAATCACTCAATCTCGTTAAATTTTCTCTTAGTTTTAATTCATGGCGGTTAAAAAGACAAATAGGAAGAGGAAGGGGTGAATTTTAGAGAAGCAGTTGGTCAATGTAGCTTGATTTTTTTGCAAAAAAATGAGAATTCAGCTTATACCATTTACTCACAAATTCCTCAAATAAAATATAATTTATTAGTTCAAAATTTATATACACCCGCCCGCCGTATCATGTGCTTATTAAAATTTGTTCTTGATGTTGGGAGTTGTGATACAATCCAAGTAACACATGAGATATACAAATGAAAATGATCTTGTATAAAGTGTCCACCAAACTTCAAGGCATTTTGGGAAAGAGTAAAAAAAAAAGGAAAAAAAAAAATCGTGTGTGCTTGACTCAAAGCTAACAATATCATACTCATATAGCATCCGATTTGAACAACTGGTATTAGAGTCTTATTCCGCGACCTTGAGATTTGAGATCAACATCTGACAAAATTAACGAAGATATGTATAATCTGATAATTCCTTGTGTCGAAAAGTCTGGCAATATAAGGTGGTCAACGGAAGTCTCAAGTCTGTGGTCCTTACTTTGAGGGACAAGATTGTTATGATATAATCCAAGTACCATATCATTCATTTCATTTTAAAATGAATTAGCGTGTAGAATTCATTGTCAAATGAAATCTTGTGTTTGGTATGTCATATTCAAATCTTTAGAAATAAAATGAATTATCGTGTAGAATTCATTGTCAAATGAATTCCTGTGTTTGGTATGTCATACATATAAGTAATTTAGTTAATAAAGAGGATAATTATGTCATTCTATTATAACTTGTAATATAATTAGTAAATAGTTGTGGAATTCATTTGGACATTCCATCTCAATTCCTCGGAATTGCTATATCTAATACCAATTCCATAAAATTCAAAATTTAGAATTGAAAATGAATTCTTTTAAATAGCAAACACAAACATGTTTCATTTCGAAATGAATTACTCAAAACTCATGGAATTTATTTATATAAAACGAAATACAAATACAATATCTCTATAAATAACTATAATAACATGTCCACCTCCCGAATTATTGAAAAATAAATGTTATATGGTCGATTGATTTTCTTTAGCCCAATGTAAAATTTGGATTGAAGTTAACATTTGGAGGGTTGCACTCATCCAAGTGATGGATGGAGGGATAGATAAAATAGTAAAGAGAAAGAATGGGATGTTTGTGGTGGTGGGAAGGGTAAGTCCCCACTCTGTTCTTTTCATTTTCAACCCCTCCAATCTCTCACAAATTAATAATAACCCAAAACCCTCCTCCCCTTTCCCTTTCCTCTCCTTTCCATCAACACTTGCATTTCCTCTCCTGTTCTTCCTTTTGACTCATTCCTTCCAATACAGTGTTCCCCACAACACAAAAGCATCAAATTTATTAGAGCAACTTGTCCTCCGCAAAACATGTGCCAGAAAAAAAAAAACCCCATATACAATTCAGATCAGCGACGACATACATCGATGACCACGACATGCTTTCGAGACTGAGGAAGATAGTCTCGTAACATCGTTGATTTAACACTCGATCCAACATTCAGACTCACAATTTTTCCCTCGATTATTTGAACTGATAGATATATTTATTATCTTCCAAACAATACGAATTATGATGGTCCGAAATTCGTCACAACAGAAAATTAATTCATCCAAAATTGGAGAAAATAACAAAAGCTACCTACAATGGAAACCTAAAAGATGTGTTCATCAGCGGCAGGAGAACTGCACTCCCCAATCGTATTGGACTGTCGCCTTCCCGCCGGCCCCCACCCAAAAGTAAGTAAGTGGCCGCGACAGCAGCATCTACCCCTCTCTCTCTCTGTCTATCTCCTCTACAGTCATCGAAGATCTTATGATTTTATACCAAATCTACGCCACCGGCCCTCTCGGTCTCCTCCACCACCACCACCGTCGCCTGCCGCCGTCTTCTCCAATATCCCTTTTACTTTAAAAACCCCCCCCAACGCCCACCCTTCTCAATTATAATATTCCCCTTGAAGAAAGAAACTGAAAACCCTTCCCCTCCCGCCGCCGTCCACCCAACCCTCCATAGAAAAAAAATCTCAAGCTCTTTGTCTTTGTCTTTCTCCAACTCCTTCTCTTATCCCCATCTTCCCATTTCTTTATTGCTCGAAAACCCATTATCAATTATTAATTAATCCAACCGAATTTCAATTTCCCCACCTGCTCAAAATAACGAGCAGCTCGTTGGTTTTAGCTTTCCGCTCTCTTCCCCACCGGCGATGCCTACGCCGGTGAGTACAGCCAGGCAATGCTTGACTCCCGAAGCCGCCCACGCGCTCGACGAGGCGGTACGGGTAGCCAAGAAGAGGCGCCACAGCCAGACGACGTCGCTTCATGCCGTCTCCGCACTTCTGTCCCATCCTTCCTCCGTCCTCCGCGACGCCTGCTCACGCGCCAGGAACAACGCGTACTCCCCACGCCTCCAATTCAAGGCGCTCGACCTCTGCCTGGGGGTTTCCCTCGACCGTGTTCCCTCATCTGCCGCCGCCGCGGCCGGCGGCGATGATGGAGACGAGGCTTCCCCGCCGGTGTCGAATTCGCTCATGGCGGCGATCAAGCGGTCCCAGGCGAACCAGAGGCGGCAGCCGGAGAATTTCCATTTGTACCACCACCACAACCAGGTTTCCTCTCAGCAGATGAATAATCAGTCGACTTCTTCTTCTTCTTCTTCGATTTCGTGCATCAAGGTGGATCTCAGGAACTTGATTATGTCCATATTGGACGACCCGGTGGTGAGTCGGGTCTTCTCCGATGCCGGGTTCCGGAGCCCCGACATCAAGCTGGCCGTGTTCAGGCCCCTTACCGTCCTCCCTCCTTTCCACTTCAGACCGCCGCCGCCCGCCGCGGCGTATTCGGATCCGGGTCCGGGTCGGAGGGGTTTCAGTTTCCCGTTCCCTGGGTTTTCCGGGTTCTTCAGCGGCGGCGGGAGCGAGAACTTCCGGAGGATCGGGGAAGTTCTCGGGAAAAGCAAGGGGAGGAATCCTCTGCTTCTCGGCGTATGCGCTTGCGATACACTCGCCAGCTTCATCGAGTTACTGGAGAAGAAGATTAGAGATAAGAACGACAATAGCAGCGGCGGCATCTTGCCCTCTGAATTATCCGGGTTAGCCGTGATTCGGTTGGAGACCGAGATCTCCCAATTTCTCAATCGAAATTCCGATAAGGAAGCCGTCGATTCGAGGTTCGAGGAAGTGGGTCGGTCGCTGGACCGAAATTCCGGACCCGGGTTGGTTCTCAATTTTGGAGATTTGAAGCCGTTTGTGAAGGTCGACGAAGAAGAAGAAGGATCTGATGGAAGAGTGAGTTATATCGTTGAGAAATTGACGAGCAGCTTGTCGCGGGATAATAGTAAGCTGTGGTTGATTGGGGCGGCAGCGAGCTACGAGACATATTCCAAGTTCGTGGCGAGGTTCCCTTCGGTTGTAAAAGAGTGGGATTTGCAGCTTTTGCCTATAACTACATCTTCTTCCATGGCTGCTGAATCCTCCTATCCTAAGTCCAGGTAAACAAGACTGATATGATATGCTTCACTTAAACTTCATTCTTCTGTCTTTTATCAGAATTTCCATGTTTGCGTGCTTACCATCTATTATTAGGAACTATTATGAGACAACTGGGAGACAAATAGCTGTTTAGTTAATGATAGTATATAGGGTTCCTTTCCTGAACTTTGCACTGCTTAGTTAACTTCAGGTGAGTCCTACTTTTCCAGTACAGGCCAGTTTACTGAAAAGTTCAAGTTTGATGACAACCTGCAGGAACTGGGCTAACTTTTTCCACCTCATATTAGCTTTAATGCTCAAACTTATATTATATTTTTAAACTCTAGGCCACATCTTTTTTACCAGAAGTTCACTGGTTGGGGAGTTGTGAACGCAGGTGAGCTCATCTGAAGATTTCTTCCTTCTTGCAATTTGTTCCTTTATTGGTTTCTTGCGAGACTTCTGAGAAGTATAGCATCTTATGTGTAGTGGTAAAGGTGTAGGCTTTATTGATGTGCCTTCTGTTGGATACTTATCCTGCGTTTTTTTCTCGCTGGTCACACAAATCTAATAGCGTTTTGGTTATGTTGCAGTTTGATGGAGTCATTCATTCCATTTGGTGGCTTCTTTCCAACACCAGCGGATTTCAAGGTTCCCTTAGGCAGCAGTCCTTACCACTATATGGCGACGCTCTCTCATCCTTGCGATGGGCAAGAGATTGTTGCTGTTTCGAAAGAAGCATCATCAGTTCCCTCGGTGCCAGATCAGTATCAATCTGGCCAACGTTCATGGTTGCAGACTGCTGAAATTGGCACAGCAAAGGAGGGAATGTTTATGAAGGTGAATATTGGTTTCAAGGTTTTGATAATTCCTGACATTGAGATATGGGATTATGAACTTTGCCAAAATCTGTTCATACACAACCCAGAAATGCATAAAACCATGTCTGAAACTTGAGATATTATATGTTAGCAATAATTTCCCAAACTATATTAAACCCAAATCCGAGTACAATCCCTGATTGGTGGGCTCTCCTGATCAGCAATGTATTGCTACATTTTAGATTGCATGTGTAATTTCAGTCTTACTACCTACTTTAGTAGACGTATTCGTATTTTTAAGGAATCGTAAACGCTTTTGTGTATCTTCAGTGCAGACCAGAGATGATGGAGAGGTATTGAGATGCAGAGCAGTCAGTCTGCAGGAAAAACATGATAGTATGTGCCACAGCCTTCATCAGCATCAGTCACCACCGGGTTCTGATATTCATCCAACTCGGTTTTCCACTGTTCTGGGTTTTCCAATTGGCTGAAGACACACAAAGGGAAGTTTCTGAAAATGATTACAGCTGCTGTACAACGGCATATTCACGGCCAATGGCAGATACATACTCGAAACCTTACTCATCATCTGCTGCTATTGATTCACATCAGATAGTGAGAAGTGAATCCGCTAGTTGCCGTCTCCCTCTCAGTCCTGCTGATGCTAGCAATAACTGGAGGATCACACCGAAACAATGTGAAAAGCCTTTGAATGAAGATTCAGGCGGCGCTCTCAGATCTCCTCATAGTTTATTGTCTAATTCAAGCATGTGTTATGGAAGTCAGGCATCTCCTGCTTCTTTGACTACAGATCTTGGACTTCGTTTGAGCTCCCCTCCTGCTGCCACTGGTGAGCCCATTAATCTCAAGGATCTTTGTCGGGATCTCTCAGAAAGAGTCGGCTGGCAAAATGATGATGCAATATTCACCATCTGCCAAACCATATCCGAGTTCAGGGCTAGAGATGGGAAACCAGAGGGAGGTAGACTGAGGGGCAAGAACATATGGTTCAGTTTTCTTGGACCTGACTGGCATCGTAAGAGGAAAGTTGCAACTGCAGTTGCCGAGATGATTTATGGGAGCAAAGAAAACTTAGTGTATGCAAACTTGAACCCTCAAGATGGTAACAATGGTTCGATGCTGAGGGGGAAAACCGTGGTGGATTATGTTGCTGGGGAGCTCTGTAAGAGGCCCGTATCCGTTGTGTTACTTGAGAACGTCGACAAAGCTGATGTTCAGGTTCAGAGCAGCTTGTCTCGTGCCATTCAAAGAGGGAGGTTCTCCGATTCACATGGGAGAGAAGTTCCCATCAATAATGCAATCATCATTACAACTTCAAACGTCAAGGATGACAGCACTAGGAGAGATTTGAGTACATATCGCGAGGACAGGGTTCTGAAAGCTAAGGGCTGGCCGCTGCTGATATCGATTGAGAAGAAACAACTTGGGCGGGAGCTGAGTCTGTCAGTGACTAGCGATGGCAGTTCTTCAAGCTCATCGGCATTCTTGAATAAAAGGAAACGTGCAGATGACAATGCATCAGCCAGGAAAGGCCTGGACTTGAACCTTCTTCCAGACCAAGAAAACGATGACCTGTTAGACAACGAAGGCGAGCACTTGGACAGTGATGATTTTGCATGTGATGATCATTCTTCCAGGGCTTGGTTACAGGGATTCTTCGGTCAGGTCGATAGAGTAGTGATGTTCAAGTCTTTCGACTTCAATGCACTCGCCACCCGAATCTCAAATGAAATGAACAAGTGCTTCCACAAATTTGTGACGCCTGAATGTGATCTGGAAATTGATCAAAGGGTCATGGAGCAGCTGCTAGCTGCGGAGTACTTATCAGATAAGAAGAGGACGGTGGAGGATTGGATAGCGCAGGTTCTGGGACGGAAATTTGAGGAAGTCAGGAGGAAGCATGGTGAACTGGGTTGTGATTACATTGTGAAACTTGCTGCCCTTGAAGAAAGATCGGATGTGGAAGAGCTCAATCCAAGAGGTTGCCTTCCTCCACAAGTTATTATCAACTGATGCCCCCAGGTCTGTGTAAGAGGCTGTATTTTTGTTTGTAGCTATAATAGATGTACGTATAAATCGTAGGGCTTGTATAATCTTGTAATCTTAAGATCTAATATAGCTGTTTGTCTAATAGTTTTTGAGTCTTAGCCAGGTATGTAACGCCCAATCAGGCAGGTGCTCTTGGAAAAAGGGGGTCTGTTCATATTTTCCTTTCCAGGAAACCTAGTATTTGGTATATTTTTCTGGGTTTCTGAACCAGTTCCTTGGAGCTAGCAGAGTACCTGTATTCTGCGTATTGCTTCTTGTACTATGTGTCAATTCTTGCTCTTCCTTGTAGTTAGTTGTTAGCTCTAGCAAAAGTAAGACTCAACTATGGTTGCTTAATGTGGTTACAGATGCTGTAAATGCGAGGAATATAACTAAAATCTAGTAACATTCAGCCTCATTCCAAGGATACATCACATAGGCTACTATGTGGTCTTGGAGCTACATTCCCCAAAATCGACACATTACCATCTCCTTTATTTCCTCCCTTAGTTCTTCATTTATACAAATCTCAGAATTTCCGGTATCGACATCTTTTCTATCTTCAATCTCTCCACTAAAATCTAGCAATTAGTTTCAATTATTGTTGGACGAAAGTTGTGTTCTTCTGCCAGACCAAATCCAAAAGAAAATACTTTCGTTTCTGCCATTTTCACTAGTCATGAGATCGTTTCTTTTCGAACCATCACCATCTAGAATTTGCCAACACTATCTCTAATAACAACACGCAGATCGGTTCCTCCTCCCTTCTCGATGATTTCCCATTATGTTAGTTTAGGGTTATTGAACACATGATTGTTTCGTCGTCGCCAGAATGACCATTGTACGATTAAGAGTCTACTTAGTCCATCATTTATTGCCTTAATAAGAACTTCACATAACCACTCTTTGCAATTCGTCTCCTCCTCAATCTCAAATCATTCTTTTATGTGGCTTTGTCTCTCTACCCAAGTTACATATTCACTTATTAAGAGTTCTTGGTTATTTGTTCATGACTCTCACGAAGCCCACAAAATTGGCATTCTTCCTGAACTTCTTTTAGCTGCTTGGATAGGTTGGCTACAGTCATCAAAATATTATTACCTCATCGCTATCCAAACATCTTCGTCTTTGATGAAATGGTAGTTTCTGTATTCGCATTCAGTCAATGAGAAGCCATGTACCTACTTGACTTGGGCTCTATGGTTAAGGATTGTTGTGCTTGCACCTTACACTTGGCACACAAGTTAATTCCTTATTGCCCCCAATGATGCTATGCTAATTAACATTGAGAAATATTTATGTAACCATGTGTGATGAAACATGCTTCAAGGTCGAGCTAGTTTATAGGTTGATGAGTCCCGGATCCCGTCATCATTTCCAAAAGCCCAAACACGAGCAGGAGAGGAAGTCGAGGAACAGCCCATATAATAGACGCCAAACAATCGAGATCCCAGAAGCCCAACAAGGAAAATACACAAGCCCAATACGACGCTCCCAGCTGTACTTAGAAAAACGCCAAGCCAAGGTTCCAACATCCAACCTCTCACACGCACAAAATCTGGCCGTCCCACTAACCAACCCATCTCTCTCTGATGCTTCTTCAGCTTCTCCTTCTCTTTTAGGCTCTGTTTCTTTCTCTCTCTTTTCCCGTCTACAGACAGCAGACCCCCTCTGTGTCTGTATTTTGTCTCTTCTCTCTCTGTGTGTGCTCTCAGTTTTCTCGTATTCATCGATTTACCCACTGTAACTTCTCCTCCCCCAGTTCTAGACCCACTACTCTTCCCCTTGGATCCGATTCTCACCACTTTTCTGCTTTCCTTTTGCTTCCCTGGTGTTTCATTTGAAACAAATTGCTTTCCTTTTCTTTATATGCGTGTTAATGGCTTCCATTTCCTCTAGCCCACGCACAGTTGAAGAGATCTTCAAGGACTACACCGCCCGCCGCGCCGGCCTCGTGCGGGCTCTGACTTTCGGTAACCCCACACCTAAACCCTAATTTTCTTTTCTCCCCTTCCTCCTACCCTTCATGTTCTTCTTCAATGCATGTGCTGACAATCTTCCCTCCTATGTTTCTGGTTTTCCTTTCCTTTCTTCTTCTGCTGTTTCTGTTTGCAGATGTGGATAATTTCTACTCGCAATGCGATCCAGGTTCGTGAAACTTCTCTCTCTCGCCGTGCTTTCAGGTTTCCTTTTAGTGTGGAGTGAATTGGGTTGGGGGAACTGGAGGGGAAAGTTGGTTGCTGTTTGTTTCCCTAGAGATGGGTTTTCGATTTTTGTGTGGATTTGGGACGGTGAGCCGCTGACCAAAACTGAAGAGTTGGAATGAAGAAAAGTTGACTTCTTTTCCTCTGTTTTTCATTTCCCCCTTTTGTTCCCCTTGTCTGTTTGTGCTTGTATTTGGCTAACTATGCTTGTGATTAGATGTAGTTGGTAGTGTGGAAGCCGCAATGTGGCCATGTGCGGATGTGGATCTCTAGTTATGGCTACCTGATGACTTGGCAATTAGTGTAAATTCTTGTTCTTTGCCTTTTTGGGGGTCCTGTTGCTTTGTGCAGTGTGGTCGCTCAGTTACTCTGGTCAGCATGCTTAGTGAAATTGTGAAGCTTTGGTTCTTTTATGTTGCAGTACATTTCACATTGTGTTGCAGTTAGCCAGTGAACAATGTTGCTCTATCCCTGAACTGGGTGGTTTCATAGGGTTGGGCTTGCTGGCGAAACCAAGATACATTTAGTTGGGTTGGTTGATTGCTTGGGCTATTGTTTGACTTGGTGCTTGTGATGTTGAATGTTTTTGTTTAGCGTTGAAGTTGTGATGGTGTTTCTTTCCCTCTGTGGGTTCTCCTTGTTTGTAATGGGTGGATTCTAAATGTGGCTGCATTTGATAATGTCAGAAAAGGAGAACTTGTGTTTGTATGGACACCCAAATGAGTTATGGGAAGTGACTCTTCCAGCAGAGGAGGTTCCGCCGGAGCTACCCGAGCCAGCTCTGGGCATCAATTTTGCAAGAGATGGGATGCAGCGCAAAGATTGGCTCTCTCTTGTTGCAGTTCACAGTGACTGTTGGCTGCTCTCAGTGTCATTCTACTTTGGTGCCCGGCTTAATCGTAACGAGAGGTAAAAATCCCTTTCGTGTTTTCTTCTGAACTCGTACAGATTAGTCTTCTATTTATAGATACACAAGTAAGGGTCTTGGCTAGTTGAACCCAGATTTTTTTTCTTTGTTGTTGAACATTGTCTTGCTTTTGGTTGAGCAGGAAGCGGCTATTCAGCATGATAAATGACCTGCCAAGCCTATTTGAAGTTGTAACCGGGAGGAAGCCAGTGAAAGACAAACCAAGTGTAGACAGTGGGAGTAAAGCTAGGAACAATGCGAAGGTAAAAAAAGCTTCTTCTTCTCATCTCAAGTTAGTCAAAAACACTCTCGGTTCCTCCTGTTTTGCATTTTGCATCCAAATCTGACCATCTTAGCTTGTCTTTGCATCGCAGAGATCACTGGATGGACAGGCGAAAAACAACTCAAAGTTAATGGATGAGAACTATGGAGATGAAGAAGATGAGCACGGGGAGACAATCTGTGGGACTTGTGGCGGAACATACAACTCAGACGAGTTCTGGATTGGGTGCGATATCTGTGAAAGATGGTACCACGGGAAATGCGTCAAGATCACACCAGCAAAGGCCGAGAGCATCAAGCATTACAAGTGCCCTTCCTGCTGCACAAAGAAGGGAAGACAGCAGTAGCAGTAGCAAATTCCAAGTAATAACTATGTTCAGTAGGGAAAACACCAACAACACTCTTTTTTGAGCCAAGTGAAGGAAGGAACAAAACCGAACTGAGGCGTCGTGATGACCTAATTGGCTAGCTTTTTCCAGGTGTTGTGGCACAACTCTTAGGGTACTAAAAAAAAACTTATTTTCCTCCATCTCTTCTCTGTTTCTCCTCTGGGACTAAGGTATCTTTTATCTTAGCTCCTCTCTGTGGCATAGCAGGTGTATTAGTTTAGTTGTTTTGTTTCAAATCTGGTTTTGAAGTCGCCTCCAGATTGTGATTGAAACCTCGTTTATATCTCATTCACAAAGGGATTTTTGGATTCTTCTTCATAACTGACAAAACTGAAAGACAAGATACATAGTTATAACTGAACCTGAAAAATCAAAATCCTAAACAGTCACCAAAACACGTAGCTAATTAAATGGGAAGTCCCAACGACAAATTAAAATAAGAATGATAGTGAAATTTGCAACAAAAGCATTGTAGACGGGATCGCAGGCTCCATCAAATACGCCAAGTATCCGTCGTCCTTGTCCTTCAACTCGAGCACTCTGTCTCTGATAACTGGATCATCGAGAAGACGGTTAACTTGGTCCCGCTTCTTCTCGACGAGCTGGAATGTCTTTCTACACAGAGAAATCAAGAACGTGGGAAGGCATGCTTTCGCGCATCGAAGGGTGCGGTCTCTCAGCGTCCCCTCCGTCAAATTGTCAAAATGGTCGAACAGGTTTTTCCAGAACTTGAGGACGATGTAACAGAGCAAAAACAGCATAATGGGTGGTGCCCACATCCTCTTCACCGTGCGAACTAGCCCAGCAGGACCGATCAAACCCGCGTAGAAGGAGTCCTCCTCCTTCAGCTCGAGGATTCTGTTCTTGATTGCTGAATCATCAAGCAGGCGGATGACTTCGTTCTGCTTCTTCTTGAGGAGCAGGAACGTCATTATAGACAGACAGAAAAAGGAGAGCAGCACGAGTTGCATTGAACATACTAAGAAGAGTAGTCTTGTGAAGAACCCCAACTTGTTAATGTAGCACTCATCCAGGATTCTCAACAGGACGTGGAGGCCGATGATGAGCAACGCCCCCGCTTTCTTCATCGTTTATTCTATGTAGGAGGGAGATTCAGGTCAGGCAGGAGAGATCGATCTTCTTCCTACTCTATATGGTTGTTTATGGACTATGGTTTCGGAAAACAGAGTTAGTTCTCCTCTCAAAATAAGTTCCCTTTCTTTCTCGGAATGGTATCTCTCAATAACTGGAGGCCCGGCCTGGAGGGGTTGGGTTGGGCTCATGGGTCAGTGGGCTGTTAGTTCTCCTCTCAAAAATAAGATTCCCTCGCCTCGGCAGATGCCTCGATGCTTTTGTCTGCAACTTGGGGAACTCTACGATTACCATGGCTGAACTTAAAGGCGCTGAAGTTGGCCTTCAAAGGACTTGGGAGCAAGGATTCCACAAGGTTGAGCTCAAACTTGATTTATCTACTGGATTTAGTATCATGAAGAACCATCAGGACAAAGACCATCGATATGATGTCATTGTGGCACGCATTGGAAAGTTTTTATTTTTATTTTGATTGGGAGGTTAAAGTCTCCCATTTGTATAGGGGTTAATTGTATGGTTGGTCACTGAGATTACAAAAAAGGTTTATGTTTGGTCATTCGAAATATTTAAATCCATTCATGGTCACTACAATTAATAAAATAATCCAAATTTAGTCACTCTCCGTTAGTCTCCGTTAGCTTCCGTTAACGGTGTCAGTTTTTTGCTGACGTGGCTAACAGAATCGTCCAATCAGCCTATTTTAATAAATAAAAAATTATACCCAACCCGCCACGTCATCAAATCCGCCACGTCAACAAAATCTCAATTCAACCCATTACCCAACCCAATTTAAACCTATACACAATTAAATCGACACTTGTGTCATTAAACCCACCACTAGGTAGAAAGAAAAAATAAAAAATCCTCAATCCAAACAAAGAAACGCTAACAATTGAGAATTTCAAGTGGGGGGCTATGAATTATATGGCTATTAACCAGAAAGCATATGGCTTTATCTCTATCTTTCTTCACTACAAATTCAATGGCGGCTAGGCAAAATTACCGATTCCTCCCCGTGGATCATCTGAACCACCACCGCCTCCTCAACTACCACGACTGCTACGGTGGCTTCGAAATCGACGAGTGCAACATCCACGATCCCACTACTACCACCACCACCACCAGGTTGCGAAGTTGCCGTCCGGAAGGCCGGATCCAGGAATAGGTCAACAACGGCGGTGACGCCCTTTCACCTTCCGATCACGCCTCCTCCCTAAGCTCTTGAGCTTCGTCTCACCCCCGACGCTGGGTTCTTCAGCAAATCCACCGTGAGAAATATCCCTCCCTTTCAGATCTGGGTTTTAGTTGGTGCGGTCAAGGAGGGGAAGGAAGTGTGGGCTGCCGCCACCGCTGCCGCTACTTGGTCATTGAGGAACAAAATCGTATTACAGCTAGCTCGCCGGGGTTGGTGTAGTTCACTTATTCGACGACTGCGCTTTCAATTTCAGATTTCGTTTTCTTGGTGTTCAGAAAGGTGGGGGTTTTAAGAGTTCGATTTGACTGGTAGGGGTTGTTATTGAAGTTCTTGGGGAGGATATCACTGACAAAGACAGTGGGGTTCCAGAAAATGAAGTTGTATCCATTTCCAATTCTAGTGTTTGGTATAATTCCTACAACTATGAAAATGAATTGCACTTTTAACCATAATGAATAATGTAATATGTTTGTTTTATTTTGGGAAATGAAATATGAATGAGAGAGAAAGAGAGTAAAATGATAGTGGGTCAACAAAATAATAAAAAGTATTGATGGGTCCCACTAATTCCATCTTCATTCTCTCAATTCCTATCACTTTTGATAGGAATTGTAATTCCCATATTTTAGACCCATTGGAATTCAATTCTCAACCTTTTTATTATTCCAAACATAATATATGGAAATGGAATTGGAAATGGAATTCCAATTCCTTACTTTTTTGTCAATCCAAACAGGCTGTTAGAGTGGAGTTTCACAAGGAGGAAGACGAAACGCAGATAGATAGGGAGAGAGAGTAGGGCTGGGAAAATAGACCAGACCATTAGAAAAACCGTGGTCCAAACCGTACCGCACAGTTTGGTCCGGACCGTAGACCGTGAAGTATGGTCTGGTCTGGTCCATGGTCTGTATTATTTTATGATTTGATCTCTTGGTCTGGTTTGGTCTAGACCGCGGTTTACCGGACCAAACCGTAGACCCAACTGACTTGTTAATACGTGTTAACAGCCCACTCGACCACTCTCCAAACTCCCACAACGACACCCAAGTCTCAACCTTAATTTTGTGAATCTCTTCCCTACTTCATTCACAGCCACATTTAACCACAGAGTAGAGATAATCGTGTCTCCATATGACATTATGTTAATGTTTATGACATTATGGTGCAAGCTGGGATGCTTTTACTTTGTATCTTTGTTATGTACTAAGATTTAGAGTATCAAAATTATTCATGCATGTTAGGATTAATGTTTTAAGGCAAATAACGATTATTTTTCTAGGTTATTAGTTCAATTTTGTGTGTGGTTGACTAAACAAATTATTCATTTTTCGTTGAGTGTGGTCTATCTGGACCAGACCAGACCAAACCAGACCGCACAGGCGTGGTCTGGACCAGACCGTATAGTCTGTGGTCTGGTCTGTGGTCTATACTTTAGCCTCTCGGTCTGGACCGTAGACCGTATATATGGTCTGGTCTGGACCAGACCGCACCGTTTCCCAGCCCTAAGAGAGAGAGAGTAGATGGGAAGAGAGAGGGGGTTGAGCCAGAGGTTGGTTAGTGGGTTAGGTTGTGGTTATATGATGTGGCATTTTTTAATGACGTGGCGGGTTGAATTTTAAATTTTTTTGGATTAAAATTGGGTGACTAGGCATTTCTGTTAGACACGTCAGCAAAAAACTAACGCCGTTAACGGAGGCTAACGGAAGGTAACGGAGAGTGACCAAACATGACATGTTTTACTTAATTTAGTGACCACGGATGGATTTAAATATTTCAAGTGATCAAACATAAACTTTTTTTGTAATCTCAGTGACCAACCATGCAATTAACCCATTTGTATAGAGAAGACAATTACGCTGCCGATTACTTAGCAAGCAAGGATCATCTGACTCCTTTTGGTTAGCGTTGGCTATTTGGTCAGGGTTTTCCAGTTTAACCCGATACCGGACCGTATAAACCCGAACCGTTTGAGATTGGGACCGTATGTAAAACAATCCAACGTCTGAGCTTTGGTGAGTTTGGGAGGATTGAGCTTTCTTGAATCGCTCTAGACCAGCTCTAGCATACATTTTCCGTTCTAACCAGAACCACAAAAAGAGAAACTAGCAGCAAATCCAAGTAGCGAATGTAACTTCACATCCGATCCAGCAAACCCTAAATCCAACTAACCAAAGGAAAGCTTTGCACTTTATGAAGAGCGAGCGGGAGAAGATGAAACAGAAACCATCCCTCTCGCAAAGCATGGCAAAGGCAAAGAGGAATAACAGAACAAGCAGCCCGCCGTGCCAACAAGCCCAACAGCCTAAATTTGGATTATTGACCAAGTAGTTCAACTTTTCATGGAATTTCCTCTGTTCCACCATCTATGCAAACCAACCATCTTGGTAAACGAATTAAGTTTGCAATTAGGGCATTACTTAGAAGAAACAATCAAATTCAGGGAAGCGAAATCCAGTGATGATTATTATTCATCATTACAAAACTGTAGTTTACCTGAGGGATTTCCATCTAGAACCCTATGAACCGTTGAATAAAAAATTGGAATCAAGCTAAGCTATCAAACCACTATTCTATTCCCACGGATAAGGTGTATAACTTTGTGGTCAATAACTATACATAATCCAATTAGAATCCATCACAACGCCCCCTTTATTTTTTCCTCCCTAATCTTTAACGGATGATTTCTCACTCGTTTTAAGTCAGATTTTTTTTTCCACAGTTAGATCAAATTAATTGTGTTCTTCAAAATGATATTCACTTTGATATATTTTTGGAACAAAAAACATTGAGTCATTTTTTACCAGTCTATACCATATGGTATTGACTAGTATTGAAATAAGAGCATATCATATGGTATGAAAAGCGTACCATGATGGTATTAACATACCAAGATTGTAGGATGGTTGAATACATCATAGTAGGAGTATAATAACTGTCATTTACGACTTTCAACATTGTGTACCACAAGATATAATACCACCACGTACCAGGATAGAACTCTGACTTTTCTTCTGTGCATCGCTCGCTAAGCAAGGCAAATCACAAGCGCTGAAATTGACCCTGGACCCTGGGGGTCGGTTGGGAACTGGGAAGAAGAACGTCTATGGAAGATCGTCCCTTTTCTCACACTGGCAGGTAGAAAGACTATTTTCTAGGCCCAAAACAAGCAGCCAACGTGCCCAGAAGCCCAAACCCCCCAAAAGCTTATCAATCCAGTGATCCAAATAGTTTTGATTATTAATTAATTCAACCATCTATGTACCGTAAAACAACCATCTTCCTTTCCTTGAACTAATTATCTGCAAATGAGAATTCGGAATTCAGAAGAAAGAAACCAATTCAGGTGAGCGAATCGTCATTATTATTCATCATTACAAAACTGTAGTTACAGGAGGGAATTCCTCAATCTGATTCCATCTACAACCCTGAACAGTTCGATCAAAATTGGAATCAAGCTATTAAACCACTATTATTCCCAGATCTATTCACAAAAATTGCTCCAAAGAACCACAATTCAATCCCCAATTATCTAGACGAAAGCAGAACAGATGAACGGGAAAAAAGAAACAATCTCTCCAGCTCGATCAATATCGCCAGTAACCTACCAACAAACAGCGCAATGACTATGAGGGCGACAAAGATCCAAAATGGCTTAGCTCCTCTGCGTCTGCGGTGTACCTGACGGCCCCTGTTTCGTCGAGGTCCTCTGCGGCGTATCTCACGGCCCAAGTTTCGTCGACCTTCCTGTTCCTGCTCCGGCGTGTATAGAAAACCAAGAACCGAAAGGACCACAGCAAGTATGGCTTCCGCCAGTGCTCGGGCCGAAAGAATTGTGCGAGGCGGATGAAGGAGTAGTAAAGAGAAGAAGAAAACGCAAACCAGAACTCCGAAAGAAATCACAGTGTTCTTACTGGCGATCGAAGAGTCCGGCTCATGCTTCTTGCTCATGCTTGGGTACAGAATGCCCCAATTGTGCTCCCCCTGCTGCAGCTGCAGCTGCTGCTTAGAAACGGCTTCAACCAGCTCGTAGATGTAGGCCGGCGCTACCCCTTCTTTCCTCAGCGGCGTTCCCTCGCCGGTCTCGGCGACGAAGACGATCAAGGGGATGTTCCCGTGGCCGGCGACCTCCAAGGAAGTGACGACAGCATCCACCATCATCTCGAACGGATTGCCGTTCCGGACTCCAGTGCCGAAATTGGAAGCGCCTTCACGAAACAGAGCAAATCCGGGAGAGATCTGAGAGCGCAATCCGTACATGTTGTGCGGGTAAAGATTCACCAAGAAGGAAGAATTTGTGTCTTCCAAGAACTTCAGCAGTGGCCGGATCACCGCCCCGCCGATCTGCTCCTGGAAAGTGGCCGCCGAAGGAGGACGCACCGCCGTCACGATGTTGATGAAGGAAAAGGTCGTGGAGACGGAGATCGACCTGATTCCGATGTCGTCTCTGAGCGCGACGTGGACGTTGCGTATGGCAGGCAGCAGGAACGAGATCTGAGAGTCGGCGACCGCGTCTTCGCCGACGGAGATCACTGCGATCTTGGAGCGCGGATAGAAAGGGAGGACGTGGACGCGGAGCCACTCGACGGCCAGAGTGCGACTGGAAGCCATCGGAGCGATAAGGCCGTTTGGAATTGCAAGAATCACGGAGGTGTTGGTGAAGTCGAAGGCTCCGATGAGGTTGGGGTCGGGATGCTGGAGACGGACGACGTCGAATCGAAGATCGGGGAAAGCGGAGGCGATGGCCTCTGGCGACGGCGGAGGAGTCGGCAGCGACGAATGGCCGCCGGTTGAGGAGGATGGAGACGAGGCGAGGGGAGAAGTGTGTGTAACAACGACGGCGGAGGTGGAGGATGCGCTTGGAGTGGAGAGGATGGAGGAAAGAGAGAGTAGGAGGAGGAGGTGGAAAAGCTTCAGCGGAGCATCCATGGCGGTCCTTTGGTGAATGAGAGAGAGAATGTGGGAAATCGAGAGCGGGTGAGGTTGTTGTGAGCGGAGGAGATTCTGTTATGGAAGTCTCTTGAGTCGAGAGCGTGCTTTTCTGTGTGGGCTACTGTGCTTATAAGGCGGCGGTGGCGGTTGATGACGTCGGCGTCGCTGGCTGGAAATTGGGCGGGAAAGAGGAGAGAGAGTGTGAGAGGAGGAGAACGGGGTGACGGTGAGAGAGTTCACGAGGCGGGTCGGATCTGTTGTGCTGTGGGCTTGGACTGTGGGTTCACGAGGCGGGCGGGAAAACCAAATTTATTTCGCCTAGTTTTGAGCCCGCAACTCGTTTCTGGGCCTAATAAAAGCCCAGTTAAAATACTTGTGCTGGTCTGCAAAATTCTGCACAACCCGGTCGTCGTGATACGATCGAGTTTTGGATAGTTTTACAGACCGGGATATTGTAGCGAAACCCAAGCCATATTTTATTGAGTTCATAAAAAAAGAAGTTTTTTATAGTGTGAAATCGAGATACTATTTATGGTTGCTCTTCGAAACCACCAGAGAGACCACCTGAATTATGTATTGGTTGCTTCACTCTACTCCTTACTCTGTCATAATGCTCGAATGGTTGCTCATGTCGCCTCTGTCAAACTAAAATTCAGTTCTTGCACCTTCTACTATATATCTGCTTAGCTCTCAAAATCATTTTAAATCTTCTCATACAATTTATGATTATATATTTAGAATGATTCTTATATTGTATCGTTATTTAACGATACGTTGTGTGATCGTGTCGTACCTTGCCCCTTGAAGCCTTCAATCATGACAGTTAATCGACACGTACGTACGTTGTACGGGATTGAAGTTCTACTCAAACTGGATGAAGTAGCTTCCTTTCTAAGTGATACCGTGCCACCTGAACTCAAAGTTCCATTTGTGTAGATGTAAGTATTTTGTCATTTTGGATGCGTAAATTCCATTTGATCAATTTAGAAAATAGATGAGAACTAATCTGCGTCTCTTTCATTGGATGTAGCATGTCACTGACCCAACTATTTAGTTTTGCTACTGGCCAACTATATTTTCATGGGCTCTGTGATGTCTTACTTGCACTATGTAGGGTTTAAAACATTACTTCCACCACTCACCCTTGTTTCTACAACACATATGTTGAGTCTTCCTTGTTTCATTGTTCTATATCCGATTTTTTCGATCATTCAAAAACTCCGACGAGATTTTGAGGTTTCTGAATAAGGAATTGACTAGGTTTGAATCAATGACTATCAAACCATCACATAGTTTCTTATATCGGATTTCCTATACATTACATAGTTGTTTATTGATTTAGTTGACAAATCATAAAATGTTTGATTTTCTATTTTACTAAATTATAGCTGCAACACACAAAAAAAAAATCAATAATTCGGAAAGAAAATCAACAAATTAAAATCATCCATGCCGACAACTTACATAATAATCATTATACCTAGAACCGGGAAAACATATATAATCCGAGAGCTCAACAACTTACTACTGAAAGAAACTTCCTCCCTAGAACACTTTTATAATGAAGACGATTCCCTAAACAATCCCTAAAGCGGACCGAATGTCATCACCATAATAGTCACAACAAACCATAAATGATGATAATGAAACTGCGAACAAAAAGTTGGCAGCAATCTCACGGTCGAAAGAAGCGGCGAAGGAGGAGGTCTTCTTCTTCTTCTCCTCCTCCAACTCAAGGACTCTGTTTCTGACAATTGGATCAGGCAGCAGACGATTAAGTTGATCCTGCTTCTTCTCGACGAGTTGGGACTTCATTCTGTACGGACGAACTGCGTAGAACAGAGTCAATGCCGTCGTGCATCGGTAGATGAGGTATGCCGGAAAATCCTCTGCCAACCCGAACGAGATGTTCAACCACACACTCAAGCCCTTGTCGACGACATAACAGAACATCACAAATAGTTGAATGGCGATCCAAATCTTCTCCGATGTCTCGATTCGATCGACGGAAGCCGCCGCCGCCGCAGGGAAGGAGGGGCCTCGTCCTTTGTGCTTCTTCAGCTCAAGGACTCTGTTTTTGAGAACCGAATCAACTTTGAGTAGGCGGATGAGTTCCTTCTGCTTCTTCTCCTCAATCACGAGGCGTGCGGCTGTCATAAAGTAGAGGCAAGTTAGGGAGACCAGAAAGGCTGCGATTATAGTTCCGGAGATGAGGTTTCTTGGGAAACCATCCAATTTGTGAACGTGTTCGAACAGGATGTTCATCAAGAAGACGAAGCCGTCGAGGCCGATGACAGACAGGATGGAGAGCCAAATCATTCTCGATGTCTTCGTCATTCTGTTCTGTGCGCAAGATGCAAGCGGCCGGCCAAGGAGAGATGGATCAATCGATGTTCATCATACTCTGTTCTTTTGTCTATATATAGAATCGTCGGTGGCTGAAGAATTTGATGATGCGGAAGATGAAATAACACACGAACACAATATTTTACGTGGTATCCTCGATCGATTGATTGATCGAGACTAATCCACGGTGAGCTCGGAACGAGCTCACGACTGATATTTTATTAGAGACTACATTGTGACGGCTTGCTATCACACAAGTCGATAGCTCAGCTTATATAGATAAACTTAGGGTTAAAACCCTAATCCAACGAATCAGACGAGGTCCAACAAGGCCCAATACTAACACGGTTTAAGTAACCGCAACACTCCCCCTCAAGCGAAGACATGAATGACAAGAATGTCGAGCTTGAAGAAGTAAATGTGAAGAACAAGCATGATGGCTTGAACCACAAAACTCGAGATGAATAACATCTCGGACGAGGTTGATTGGAGACGACTGACTCTCTCTGAACAACCTGATGATGGAGACGATTGACTACGTCTCTTGAACTTGAACACACCTGGTACATCGCGGTCGACCTGATGACTGAGGTAGTCGACCGACGTATGTTGACCTCCTATTCTCCCCCTCAAGTCGGAGCATGAACATCGTGAATGCCCGGCTTGAAAAGCGATGAATGGTTGATATGTGTCCAATAATGAATCCAAAGAGGGGACGACCATTTCTTGGATCGTGAATGCCAGCTGGACGATGAAGGGACGATAACTTCTCTTATCATACTACCTTTTTGAACGCCAGGGGACGACCCTTTTATGGATCGTGAAGGCCTCTTCACTACTTTTTTGATTGGGGATTCGCTTGCTTTCCTCTATTGAAGCCCGCGGAAGAGATGAAGCTTGAAGGTGAAACCCTTCTGTTGGTTACTTCCGCCACTTCTGATCCACGCTAACCCTTTTGTTTTCTCTTGTCCCATCTCCTTCATCTCTTTTGAACAATTATTGTCCCAAAAAAAAATGGCCGGCGACGATGGTTCTTCTGATGACGGCGCCGCACACGGCGAGCAGAGTTGTTGTTACGGAGGGTGCGACAAAGAGATGGTGATGGCGCATCGGCTGGATCTGATGGCGGATCGAGAGATCTCGTCTTGACGGCAATGACGACGGTACGCAGTCGGAGACCGGAGTGGACATCGGCTCTCCTGGCGACGAGGAAGGAAGAAGCGACAGCGGGAAGGACTTCGTCATTGTTCCTTCGAAAGCGGAGACAGAAGACTACGGCAGCACAGGCAGAGAAGTCGCGACGGCGGGAGATCGAATCTGAGCGGCCGACGTCGATTTCGGAGGCTGATCTATGGGGAAAGAGCATCGATCTGGTGGGGATGGCGATTGGTGACTTGCGACGAGCCCACGGAGTCGTCGTTGATGCCGTGAACCCAGTTGCCGGAGACAGAGTTGAAGGCCGGAATGAACCTCGGCTCTCCTTATGACAACAACCACGAATGATTGGCGATTGATGACCCACGGCGGAATGGACTTCGCCTAGGTCGACTATGCTCAGCGGAATAACATCGCTGATGAACAAAACAAGCCAGCGGGATGAACATCGCTGATGTGCGGAAGACAAGCTGGATCTACCGCTCTGATACCATGAAGAACCAGTTGGTCCCAATAACTCGAGTTGTTGGGAGAAGGTTCTGCTGGATCTTATATCACTCTCTAACACGCCCCCTCAAACGAAAGCCAACCCATGAGCTTGAAGTTTGCACAGGCCCACCATACCTTGTGCTTTAATTAACTGTTAATATTGGGGGTCGTGGAGATTCGAACACACGACCATTTGTGACGGCTTGTGACGGCTTGCTATCACACAAGTCGATAGCTCAGCTTATATAGATAAACTTAGGGTTAAAACCCTAATCCAACGAATCAGACGAGGTCCAACAAGGCCCAATACTAACACGGTTTAAGTAACCGCAACACTCCCCCTCAAGCGAAGACATGAATGACAAGAATGTCGAGCTTGAAGAAGTAAATGTGAAGAACAAGCATGATGGCTTGAACCACAAAACTCGAGATGAATAACATCTCGGACGAGGTTGATTGGAGACGACTGACTCTCTCCGAACAACCTGATGATGGAGACGATTGACTACGTCTCTTGAACTTGAACACACCTGGTACATCGCGGTCGACCTGATGACTGAGGTAGTCGACCGACGTATGTTGACCTCCTATTGTGGCGGTCTGGCTTGAATTTAGGAGTAGCTCTCCTATCCAATCCGAGATAGGATTCTTTTCTTTTCCCGTTTTTCTTTTTACGGAACTGAAATGATATCAATGACTGCAAAGGATTCTACTGGGCCGGCATGGAGGGGTTTGGGTTTATGGATCGGTGGGCTGATTGTCTGTTTGGGCCTCTACAATTATAAAACAGCCTTTCTGTTGTTAGAGCCTCGAATTGCAAGGGCACCTATGTTGCAATTGCAAATTGCAATTGCAATTTAAAGGGTACTGCTGATGAGTGATGTGTAATGTCGTTGTATTTTGTAACTACTTAAAATGTAATTTATTAAAATTAATTAATTAATATAATTTATTTTACCACGATGATTGCCGCTTCTACAGAGATACACCTCCAAGTTATGAACCCTTATTGGCCAACTCAAACCGGACGTTACGACCTACCTGTCTTGTTCGTGTATGAACATGAAACTCAATTGACCAAATTGCAAGAAGGTTGCTTAGATTTGCATCCACTTTGTGGGGAACGGATCAGGTCAGTAATCTTATTGTGAGTAACCATGAGTAACCCGTTCACATCAGCATGACATCAGCATCCCTCTCTCTCCTGAGAGGGATATGTCACGAGAGATTTGTTGAGCAGTGTATACACCGAATGTATTTTACCATTCTTTCATAATATCGAACATGTTTGAACTTTTATTTGAACTTTTACTAGTTGAATATTTTCATATTTAATAATTTTTTGATTTAATTTTTTTAATTTTTTTTTAAGAGGACACCCTATTTAAAATTCCTGAATCCGCCATTGCACACACCCACACTAATGAAGAATAAGATGATTGAACTCTTAAAACACAATTCCTTTGCCAAAGTCTGGATCAAGCTTTGCTTACTTTAATTCTCTTATATACAATGTACCCGTTGTGTAATGTGGGTTAAATAGCTAGTATCATATATGATGACCCAATCCGATAGTTTCAGCGGCACAAAAGTAAATCCGAGACACTAACCCAAGCTGGCTAGGGCTAGCAAAGTGCAAACAAAGTCGTGGCAACAACAGGAATAACTCGAAAAAGAAATTAATAAATTAAACTAACCCAAGCTGGCTAGGGCTAGCTAGCTAAGCCTAATCCTACGTTAACCCAGCAGAGTCCACCGAAACGGAGGAGGAGTTCCTTCATCTTGTTCTTCCTATTCTCCTTGTATCTCTTCTTCTTCTCCTTCTTCTTCAACTGCAAGTTCCTTTTCCTGATAACAGGATCTTCCGTATGTAAGCGGGTAAGTCCATCATGCATCTTCATGAGTCGTAGGATCGGAACAATCCGCAGACAAATCGAGGCGAGGCAGCAAATCCACACACAGACGAGACCGACGGATTTCGCCAACTCCAACTTGCCATCATCATCTCGGGCACGTTTGTGATGCGTATGACGCCGACAACATAGGTTGTTAGCAGACCAAGGGTCCACATCTTCCCCGATATCTTCATTGCATTGACGCCCAAAACGTAAGGAATCGAAGCCACGGGACTAGGCACGATCGAGGCCGAGGATGAGGAGGCCTTCAACTCGAGGATTCTTTGTTTGATAACTGGATCCTCATGTCGCCGGATACGTTTGTCGATTAATTTGGTCAAGATTCGGATTGCCCTATTCTGCATCAGCCAGAAGACGAACGGGATGGACAGCAACAAATATCCAAGGTGGAGAGAAAGAAGATACTGTAGGAGATGAGGCTGTAAACCACGAGCATTAGAGAATGGAGCATGAAGATCCACACAGCCCTCGATATCTTCATTCATTATATAGGAGAAATACAGGGAGGAAGATACATAGATTATCGTAGTGGGTTAGGAGACGTTCCCCTGTCAAAGTAGGATTCTTTTCTTTTTCCCGTTCTCTTGATCTGTTATGTGACTGATCTCCCGTTTTCTTATACCTGCTCTTAAAGATTTCTTTTTATCTCGATTTGCCAACTACCATCAGTGACGCTCGACTCATCTCGTTGAAGATTGAAATGTGGAACTCAAACAACAACAACGTAAATTCCAGCTCAGATTAATATCGAATTTTTCCCAGAAGATACTACTTAAGTTTTTGCCCATTTCAGATTCACATTGCTTTCAAGTTGACTGGGAAAATCGACACACATCTAATGAGAAAGATGCTACAAACTTTAGTTCGAAAGTACCAAGGATTATTTTACTCGTACCGCGAGCTAAAAAATGAACATACAAAAACAGTACCTCCCGTGAAGACAAAGCAGAATGCCAGGATGGATCAAGTAAAAACAGGATTCGATTAATAACTAGCAACACCATTTTAAACGTCTGAACAGGAAAATAAATCAGTGCAGCAAAATTTAGACTGTGAACCAAATCCGATATTATCAACCACAAACCAAAACTTTGCGGGTCCTACAACAAGATAACAACTGGTTTGGGGAAAACTTAATCGTCAAACAGACTGAAGCCCAAACCATCTTCATCCGACTCCTCTTCAGGTTCTGGTTTCTTCTCCTCTTCCTTGGCAGCAGAAGGTGCAGCAGCAGCACCGCCGCTGGCTGCAGCAGGGGCAGCAGCAACAGCGAACTTGCTAGGATCCTTCATAGCAAAAACATTCAAACTAATTAACAAACAAGACAAGACAATGAAATACATATTATCCTATCAGTAAGTTTTCAGAAGGGAATCAAACCTTCAAGTACTCTTTCACTTGCTCTGCCTGAGGGAAGGTGTAATCAGTCTCCACGGCAATGGCCAAGACATTCTTGTAGGCATTGGCGAACATGTGAGGAGCACCAGCCAGTGTTGGGTATGCAATGGCGAGTGAGAGTGCAGTAACCATGGAGACACCAGAGGCAAACCTCCCCATGAGGTCATCCTCAGTCAGATCGAGAACCTCAGGGCTGAAGACAGACCCATCGTCATAAACATTTTCGACCACCAGACCATAAGAGAATGGCCTGATGCCAAGCTTGGCAAGCAGGGCAGCCTCTGAAGACCCAACCTTGTCACCCTTCTTAATCAGCTCCACAGGGGTGATGATTTCAACAGTACCCTTGTTAATCTTGGTGGGAATGTTCAGCACCTGCAGCGTACGAGAAACACATTAAGTCCCATTTTTAAGAAAGAAGCAAATTAGAAATAAAGACATTGCAATAGGGCAACGGCTAACCTGGAAGAAAGATGTCTGAGATGGATCGAGTCCAGTGTTGCCGGGAGGCACAACAACATCAATTGGTGCAATCAGACCAACACGAGCAGGGGCTCCAACCTGTAAATTCAGATGGTGCAAATACGTTTGTCAAAACAATATGTTAGCAAAAGGACATATGTACTAGAATAAGTGAATCCCATGAAACCACATAATACCATAATTAAAGTAAGAGTCAGTAGTGTAATTTACCTTGTACTTTCCCACTTCCTCGCTGACTTCCTTCAGATCACCTTTAGTGAAAATCAGACCAACATTCCCCTAAATCCAAAGGAAAATGGTTCAGAAACAATAAACTAAACATTCCAGTTCAGGTTGATTAGTTACAACAACCCCAGGTCCGATTAAGCGAAGACACATTTCTAAATGCATTCGAACCTAAACCATAGAGCTTCCAGTGTAGGGTAACAGAGACATAATGCACTAACCTAAATTCTTATCAAAGAAGACGCAAATCGTAGCTACATGTATCACATTAAACCCTTTGACTGGCAAGCCATGAGGATACGTTTCAATCGGATATTGACTCATACAAACCCTAACAGATAATACTACGTTCAAAACACAATTCAATATGATATCCCAAGACAAACACAGCAAACATTTTCAATTCTGTTTTTTACCTGAAGGAGGGGGAGCAGATTGAGAATAGCCTTGTTGCCAGACTTCTCAGAGTGAACCCTAATCGTCCTCTTCATCATAGTGTTCTTCCCCATCAGCACCACCGAATCACCTCTCAGACCCTTCCTGATGTTCTGCAACTGGGTCGATCCAACATTGTCTGCAGCCACAATCAGGACCTGGCTGTAATCGTCCAAGAGCTGACACATCTTGGAGTCATAGGCGAGCTTCTTATCGGCCTTCGACGGCTTCCCAACCATTTTCGCTGTCTGTTTCTAGATTTTCTACAACAAACGGAGAAAACACTAAGACCCTAAGACTGAGGAGAGGGGTATACAACACAAGAGCGAGGACCAAGACGAGGGTTTAGCTCTGTCAAGGTGGACACCGGCGTGGCGTCTCTTTAACCTCGCGGCGCGCAACTGGAAGGAGACTACAAAGAGCTAAAAACCCTAAACGGCAAAATTGTGTATAGCCTTAGAGAGAGTTGTATTTCAGCCGCAATTTATAGCCTCTTTCTTCAGGGTAACCTAGATCGGACGGTTGACGTTTGCCTACCTAGATCGGTCGCATTTGCTTTAGGTTACTCTCGGCCCAAACGGAGATGTTTTAGGCCCATCAAAAATCAAAACCTAGGAGTATCCATTTTACATGGGCCTCCACTGGTATGGGGCTCTGGGGTCAGTGCATCGAGCCCAACCAAAGGTAGTCAGCAACTGAACCGAATTTCCGAAAGTTGCAGAACAACAACCATGAATGAACCTATACTTCTACGACAGCAAAATTCGCTCCACCGGAGCCCGCCACTGCAAAGAGCTTCTTCCACTGTGCGGGAATGGCTTCTGCGTACAGAGATCGGACGGCGGAGTTCCGATCACTCACCGAAACGCTGAAGAAGATCAGTGGGTTCAAGCCCGATCGAGGTCAATCTCAGGAAACTGATCCTTTCCTGCCATCAAGGCAGCAAGCTTCGTCGCTCTCTTACAGATCCGAATTCAACAAGAAGGCTTCCCTGATCGGGCTGGGAGTTCATGAGACCTCCGAGAAGATCGCTAGACTTGCCAAATGTAAGATCCCTTTTGGTCGATCTTGTTAGATGTAGGGCTAATTGGTAAATGCTCTGTCGCTTATGTTCTGCTGTTGATGAATTTGAACACTATGTGCCCGTTGGATCTTGATTCTCAAATATTGTGTCTCAATAGTGCTCAAAGTAATTGCTTGTGAGATGCTAAGCAACTGAAATCAAAGTATTTGTAGCGGTGAAATTGGCGAATTGGGTTGTTTTTAGTTTGAATTTCGGGGATGGGTTATGTAAATGCTGACTAGCTGTATTGGGTTTTGATGTTTTGTGTCAAATGTGCTGCAGTGGCAAAGAGGTCGTCTATGTTTGATGACCCTACAGTTGAGATTCAAGAACTGACTGTCCTTATAAAGAATGACATAACGGCTTTGAACTCGGCTCTTACTGATCTTCAGACCCTTCAGAGAATGGAAATAGCTGACGGGAACTACTCCGAGGACAGGGTTGTTCATTCCACGGCTGTATGTGATGACCTGAAGAATAAGCTCATGGGGGCTACAAAGGAGCTTCATAATGTGTTAACCACTAGAACTGAGGTAGATGTCCATGCCCCATTTTTGTTTTCTTTAGATTGCTCTTCTATCAACACTACATTTCCCCTTCTTATGGTTGTTTCAACTCTCAGAACATCAAAGCTCATGAGAACAGGAAGCAGATATTTTCTGCAAATGCTTCTAGAGAAAATCCTTTTGTTCGTCAGACAAAACCCTTGGTTGAACCACCTCCCTGGTCAAGTTCAACAAACGAGTTTGACCCTTCGCAGCCATCCCCGTAAGTTAACTTTCTCCCACTTGTAATATCCTGTTTAACCTAGAGCTCCTGTCTTTGACCATCTCATTGCTGCTACTTGTTTGCAGTCTAAGTCTTTTTCTTCTGTCTTTCCTCTGTTTACTTGATCAATTGTTGATTATTGTATTCACATTTCTTTCATCCTTTACCAGATTGCCACCGAATGGTGTTCAAGTTGGCAACCAATTGAGGTGCGTATTATACAGTTCTTTGGCACCTTTCTAGTCTTGGATTATTGTATATCTTGCCCGATTATCTTATTGTATAACTCTGTCAGGGTGATTTAGAAGCTCCTAATTGATAATTCTGGATCTAGTAAAAAAATATCCATTCATGTACTTTTCATTCCATTTATTCCAGAATGGTAATACCCTGTACCACGTCCTACTAATCAAAAGGCAAATGAACTGATAACATCATGGGCGGCATTGGGCTGTGGCATTGAGCCTTTTTAATCTAAATACTTTTGCTCATTAGAATTTTTGCCGAACTGCACTCTCTAATTTGTCTGAGCAAGGTTTAATGAACTTCCATCCTCAGACGGAGGCCAGCAGTTGATAATGCTCCTTCCCAACAGATGGAAATGTCCATGTTGCAACAAGTAGCCCCTAGTAGGCAGGATAATTTAGCTCAAGGTCGTGCATCTGCTCTCCACAATGTGGAATCAACCATCTCAGAACTTAGTGGGATCTTTACGCATTTGGCTACCATGGTTGCCCATCAAGGAGAGCTGGCCATTAGGTATCTTATCTTTCTCTTTGTCCATTTTGGACATCAACTATTTTTGGTTCTTGAACCGTGATTCTTTTCTTTTGACACAATCTACAAATGATCAATTGCCAGAATTGATGACAACATGGATGAATCTCTGTCCAATGTTGAAGGTGCTCACAGTGCTCTACTGCGTAATCTTAACCAAATATCATCCAATAGGTGGCTTCTAATCAAGATCTTTGCCATCATAATTTTTTTCCTGGTGGTTTTCATCTTCTTTGTGGCCTGAAATGACAGAAATGCGTTTATATTTGTGTTGTACCTTTCAAACCATCATTTAGATGCTGAGCTTGAGGATCCTCTGTGTTGTATATTTGATTGTTACCTTCTTTCTTTTTTGTTTTTTTAGATCCCCCTCTAGCATTTAGAGGCTGGATTAGCACAAGCATATACGTAGATCAGGCATTGTGTATCAGTTCACTTTACCAATAACCTTGATTTGTTTTGGAAGATTCGTGTGAAATTGGAATCGTTAATTTGCAGAACCCTTTGGCACAAACTTTCCTGTATCAACCTAATTTCTGCTTTCAAGTGGCAATGAACTTCTCCCTAGGAGCAGCACACACCACTGATATGCCTAATTTTAGTACAGAAACACATGAAACAGTGCTTGGATTTTGCCCCGTGCACACAATTTTGAATTGATGAAGAAGCAACCAATTCCTCACTTTCTCTGGAACTTCATTGATTGATTGATTTGATATATTTAGCAGTCAATTTGGCATATTGGTGGGGTTGAGAATCCACTTCTGAGTTGTTAGCTGTGCTGCAGAAGATTCCTATCCTTTCCTTCTTTTGGCCCCCTGCTTTAGAACTTGGGAAGTAAATCTGTCATAGTGGGCTGCTGATTTTCTGGTGTTTGCCACAATATGCTTAGTGCTGAAACTACTTGAGAAAACTAAAGAAAATATGGATTTTCAGGTTCTTGGCTGGCAGGCAGGCCAAGTGATCTTGCCACCCTTGCCTGTCTCTTCCCTCCAACAAATGCTCATTATCATCTTAAGATCTGTTGGATCTTTGATAGCAACTAGTTGACTCTGAAATTAGAGGATTTATGAGTCACCCACATCTTATTTCTTTTCAATCAATCAAGGGTTAGTCTCATACAGAGAGAATAATAGGTAAAAATTCGATCTTTTCCATTTGGTTGATGGAATTTTGAGACTGGGTTAGCTGGGTGCTACCAGGAGATGGGGTTGGATAGAAAAAAGGGTATGCTTGGTTTGTGCTATAGATCTAAGGAAAAGGAAAAAGCACTTTGTAACACATATCTTTTGGCTCTCTTTTCCTCTGTATCGATCTCTCATCAAAGTTCTTCTCATTATTGCAATCAAGATAAGGCCATTCCCACGTTTGGTTGAAGAATCTTCATTACTGCAATTTTGTTGAATTGGATAAAAGTAGTCTTTTTGAGGGGCAGGGAGCTTTCCTTTTCTCCCCATCCAAACTCTCTCACATAACAAAGCATCTCTCGCTAACTCTTCTTCCTTTTTATCTGTCTCAGCTCTAACTTCTAACGTTCCTTCTGCATTCATTTATGGCCATACTTCAATACTGTCTTGCGAGCTTAATGAGAGAGCAATGGAAACTGGAAACTGTGCCTTCCGGGCAAAAAGAGGCCGAGTGACGCCACTTAGCTCAAAATTTTCCCACCCGTTCATAATTATTCTTCAAATAAGAGTTTACTCTTTAACGTTTTAACGTTAAACATTATCATTCACGCCCAAAAAAAAAAAACTTTATTCGATTAAATATGCTTCATTATTATAAATGAATATCTATTAGAATACTGTAAAAGAAAAGGAAAGCAAGTCGCAAATAGTTATAAGAAATGAAAAAAAATGTATAATTTGGAATTAAAATTATACTTTTATGTTTTATAAATTATACTCTCTGTTTCTTTGACAATAGGAATAACCTTTTAACAACAACAAAAAACTAATGCTCTTTTTTACCAATGATTTGGCTGAAGCTGAACTCCATCAAGTTCCCGTATTGCATAGGATGCCTCCTTCCTGTTGCCACACATTAACAGTTCATCCACCAAATTATTCAAAACAATAATAGAGAATTTGGTGAAAGCAGTTAGAGTTTCTATGTTCTTTTTTTCATTGGTCGCCCTGTTGTTGGGAAGGGAAACTAGAGGACGAAGGTCTTGGATTCGTTATGTATCTTTTTCAATTGAGTGGTCTTTGCCTACTTCTGTTTCAACATATATACATCGCCACAAAACATGCTGAACTCATCCCATAACAGTTTGGTTTGGCAACTTCCCAATACTCTTTAGTTATCTATTCATTCATTGACAGAAGTTGTTTGTTGAGTACATGATGATGATGATGATGATGAGGTAGTCTTTCCTACGTTAAACATGTTTCTCACTCCTACAATTCATATACTTTCCACTTTGGATGTGTAAATGCTATGATGTGCTTACCATCTGGTCAAACTTCTTTTTTCATTTCATTTACTCGTCCAAAAATCGTATAAGGTTCATTTTTGTACCTCTTCTAACCGCTCAAGTGCGAGAGAGTAGTTTAAATACGAGACGAGGTGGGTTTCTACATTGTATCAAATTCACAACGCAAAACAGATTATGCAATTGAGTTTTTGTCAACGTCAAATATAAGCAGTTGATTTAATCAAAGATTAGTTTGTCAATGTAAACTCCAAAGCGAGTTGACATGACATTCTTAAAGTTTCTCATTAACTCGAGTTATGAGAACTACTGGAACGTGACAAAATGGTTGAATATACAGACATCACCAACCACAAGTGCAAATGGTTGTTGAAGAAGATCAATTTTTTAATTATGAATAGTAATCTAGACAAAGTGAGCTCATTGTTCTAACATGTTCTAATACGTATTTTTTATTAAAAAACACAATGTTATTGTTCGTATGTCAAATGAACATCCGGCTCCTAATCTAACAATACCTATAAATTAATAATTACACACCATCATGATACACCAAACCAATGTGCAAGTAGAGATAGAATAGTACCATCCAATCACTTTAATTATTAGACTCTTCTTAATGAATGCTTACTAGCTAGTATTTTTTGTGTTTAGGCTAATTAGAGCTTTCTAGGTGGCAAAGATGTCGATGGAACTAAATGGGTCTTTGTAAAGTAACACTCAAGCATTACTCAAAAAGACATATTATCGGTTGTTTTGTAGTGGGTAGAAATTATCATAGATCTATAGATTGTATAGGTACTAGCCTCATTTGGTGGGTAATATTATATTTGGTTATGTCCATATTTTTCTAAAGTGCTAAAGTAACCACCCCATTTAGCAAACCTACAAAAAATGGGGTACTGTTTTGAGTTATTACTCAACTATACAAGTTTGATGATGCCAGAGTGCATGGCACACTTGAGTGAAAATAATAAATGGCAATTATTGATAGAGATTTTCGTGACAATCAAACCCTATGGTCTTTCCAATTAAGTCTCTTTAGCTTTTATCTCTAGAATTCTTTCGCCCTAATCGTTGATAGGATTTGTTATGTTTATCTAGGTCACTTTTATGAGTCTGTTCAGTGTTTATAAGGATTGTGATATGTTTCGCATAATTTTTTTTATGAGGAAAAATTGAGTTGAAAATTCACCACGAAGTTAGTAAACCTGAATCGGAGATGTTGGCAACAAGAAGGTTAGAAGACCATCCCCTTCCTTGTTAGGGAAGATGCCAACCATCTTTCCTTTCTACGAAAACATGTCTTGCATAACTTTTATGCCTAAGTTTTCTACATGTTCATGTGTTCGGTTTTGTTTTGCATATGTTTTATTTGTTAGGGCAAATGTCAACTATCTCTCCTTTCTACTTAACGCTTGAATGCCTTATTACCAATATGTAGATATTAAGTTAACCACCATGACTTCACGAAGAAGAAGAAGGCAAGTTAAATTAGACTCCACTTTACGTTTTCTTAAACTTATTTGCAGAGTAGTTATTACCATTTACCATGCAGTCAATCTTAGGTACTAATGTACATATCCCCTTAATCATCGTTCCCAAGTAATTATGCAGTTGGTATGGTAATAATAATTCTTCATGACACACCCATTTGATCATGTTCGGTAAAAAGTAATAACATACCTAATTTATCCTTTCACAGTGCCACAAACGCAAGATACATACACTTAATTACAATTGAACTTCTTTCTTGAGTCTTAATAAATGAAATTTCCATGATTAATGATTCTTAAACAATATATTACGTACACGAATGATTCTCTAAAACGGCGGACAAAAGCATATATTATTAGGCCAAATAATGATGATGAAGGGTTTAAAGGCAGAGCTTCATTGTTACAATTGGATGAACATGCATCTCTCAGTACAAAGTCGTTGATGAATAATGTCAAATTAATGATTTCAAACACCCACTAAAATAATATAAATAAATAACTATCGATTAAAAAGAACACCCACTAAAACTAGATGGGTAATAGTTAGATTATTTATTAGGTCACAAAAAAGGATGTCCTAGGATGCTCTCATTCAAGTCCTAAATAATGGAGGATTCTGTAGATGATGAAGAATAAGGGGAGATGGTGATTGGTGACATGAAAATGGCCAAAGGAAAGGAAAGCTATTATTGGCATCAAGCAATCAACCCAACTATGGGCAAGCTATTATTTGTCAATTTTTTCTTCTTTATGATGAGCTAGGATATTTGGTATTTGTGCCTTGATCATTATGATGTTGGTGGGTCGAACGAACAAAAAACAAGACACAGTAATATGAAATTATACTTTGATGATCAAGTCAGATGTAAGAAAGTTAAGACATAGAGAAGAGAGTTTGTATGAGAGATCATGTGTTATCCTTTCTAAATGCAAAGCTTATTTTCATAGGAAGAGCAAGTAGTCCAGCAGTCAAGTGATTCTTTTGGTAGAAGATCATTGGCTATATCAACGAGATGCCTTAATGCTTTCGATTCTAACGGTTACTTTCCCGATACACTTAGTTATGATCATATTATTTTGGTGTCGTTTTAAACTTGCAACATATTTGCTTGAACTTTCTGCTGACCATATTAGGTGAGCAACGGGTGTTCTTAGGTTCCTAACATATTTGACCTGAGGGAAAACAAGCATGAACAACACTCAAACTCAAGCATCTTGAACTCGCAACGTTGTTATAGTACTAATAGGCTATAGTCCATTTGGTAGTTTTGATCATACACATGCTATAGTTGATCAATGTAGATACTGTGCTAGCTAGTGCTAATATTAGGGCTCACCAAAGTAATAGAAAGCACGAAAAACCTTAAAGAATGCCGAAAGGACATATTCCATGAATATAAAGGAGCGAAAATTCATATTCTGATATATCCAAAGAAGAGCTTTTTCCGGGGGGGGGGGGGGGGGGGGGGGGGGGGGGGGGGGGGGGGGGGTGGGGGGGTGGGGGGGGGGGGGGTGGGAGAAAAAAAAGCAATTTTAATTATAAGAAACAATTAAAAGAGAGATATTCTGTAAATGGTGGGTTTGCTCTCAAGTACTTA